GCTGCTTTCAGCCTTATCTGTTTATTTTTGGAAGGTGGGACATAACACTTATATATTTTCAATACCAAATAAAAGTAAATCAAGAGAATAGTCATTGCAATGATAAATAAAACTGATGCACTACTAAAACTCTTGTTCTGTTACCTTTAACTGGGTGAAAGATATTTTTGCAAAACTTAAATGACTAAATCTGAGTTTAACTGTAAAACTAGAATTTTGATGGAGGTTTTTTAAATGACCCACCTTCTAAATTTTAATAGAGAGTATTCAAATGGGCTAACTTACAGAAGACACCCATGATTCCCAAAAGAATGAAATTTGAGAAATTGTGGCTGCTTTAGTGCTACTGGGCTGCTACTACTTCAGCTCTACTGGGCTGTTGCTGCGGTCATGTGATGCTCATTTTAAATGTCCCACCATTCTTGCAATCCCTCACTCTCTCCCCCAACCAGCAGCAGCCACCTACCTGCCAATTGGGAAGGTAAGAGGAGGAATACAAAAGGAGGGAGGGAGGGAGGGATCCCAAGTACCTTCCCAGCCCATTTCACCTCTCTGCATGCCCCCTCAACTTGTGCCATCCTATGCCCCCTCCTTAGACTGGGTGGCACCTTTCACATATCTCTGCAAGCTCCCCACACCCCTCTTGACCTGCCTTGGCCCATGTACACCCTACCCTATGGCACCCCTTGCATACATATCCTTCTTGAACCATGTGGTACCTCTCATGTATCTTCATGTACCATTTCTGAGGCACACTTCCTTAATCCCTCCCCTACATGGCACTTACTTGCAGTTTCCTTTTGGCTTTCCCACTGGTTTGTTCCTTACAAGCTTTTCACAAGCAAACAAATGGGGTAGCCAACAGGAATGATGAGAAAGGAGGGAGGGGGAGGGAGGGAAGGATTTCCAATGCTCCCTGTCAGCTTTCTATAAGGAAACTCAGTGGGGAAGTCGTCAGGAAGGAGGAAGTCCCTTAACTCCAATTGCTTTTTTGGCCACCTACGATCATTTTGTTTCTCTGTTAGGTACGTTAGGCAATGTCTCCTAAAAGATAACTCAGTAGGGCAAGGAATATTTAGTAATGTAGAATTCTCAATCTTTGCTTAGAGAAGAAAATATATGAAGTAATTAATTAGAGTTTGAATCAGAAGTACAAATACTTTGTTAATACATTACAGTAAGGTGTTATTTACTTAATTGGTGAACAATAGCTGACTCACATAGTGCAATATGTCAGACTAATAAATAGGCCAAAATTGCTTAAATTGGGAATTCAGGGGTCTTGAAAACATAGTTACTGAATCCAAAACTCAAATAGAAACTATTTCAGTACAATTACCCTGACTTTATTAAGCACTCTTATTTGTATACTAAGCAAAATCATTATTCTATTTAGTGTTATTAAGAGGCTAGACTTTTGGAACAGAAAGCAAATCATACTAAGCAGTTATTTAAAAATCAGGAAGACCAAATCTATTGTATTTTTTTGGTTTAGTTAGTGCCGAAATGGAATAACAGATTTTAATAGTGTCACCTGCAAAATCAAGATATAAATGAATGAATTCATATGGTCAATAAATTTAATCTGATAGTTGAGTTTACAACTTTGCCAATATTGAAAACGTATGTTTATACAGAAGTAAGCCATAGTTTATTAAATCTTTCTTTACTCTAATCTGGAGATATTTGAACATTTGTAAATTTTTGTTTAACAATTCTTCATGCTGATTCAGAGAATTCATCATGAATATTTTCCTACAAAGAAGTTTCACTTTGCTTTAATTTTTTTTGTTATTCTCTCTTTAATATATTTATAGGTTCCACCAATATTTTGGCACATACTCTGAATGGAATCCAACATACACAAACAGCAACATTGCATATAATATTGGGTAAGTATTGCACATCTGAAATTTTAGAAAGGAATAAAATAATAAATATCCATCCTTGCTTTTTATACATGAAATAAACAGGATTATATCCAACGTTTGTCAAAATTATGATTCAGATCTTCTGTAGGATGGAATAGGCTTTCTGGAATTCATTTTTATTTATATTGTGTGCTTTTAATTTATTGCAATGTGACCGTTGTATTGGGTGCTGTTTTTGTTGACTGAATATGTGTCTCATTTAAGTGCCATGTGTGCTGTGGTAGTGCCTTGAAGGATCAGGAGGCACACTCCTCTTGATTTATATAAACACAGGAATGCACTCTGTGTCTTGTACAAAATGGTGTTCTAGGATTTTGATTCTCCTGCTCCTGTGCAATTAACACACAATAGAGTTAGGAAATGAGTTCACTTATAAAATGTACATATACATATATGTACATATACATATATGTGTATGTGTGTTTGTATTAATGCTACAATATTAGGGCATCTAAAGTCAGTGGATATGTGCACCTTCAGTAGCCCTTTCAAGCCACTTCGCTTTGGATTCTCTTCTATGTTTGGCTTTGGATCAAGGACTCTAGCCTTGGCTGAAAAGCATCGCTGGATTCCACCAAATCAGCGTAAAAATTTTGCTGTAATCAAGACCCTAGCAAACCTCAGGTAAGCTGAATTTGAAATCATTGTAATATTAATGTAGGAATATTTTAAAGTGAGTAATTATGCTAATCAAATTAGATTATTTGCATTCTAGTTTTAGCATTTCCCCAATATCTTAAATGACAATTTTACTCTGTGGTGAAGAGAAAGCAGCAGACTTTTTATGAGAAAACCAGACCACTGGAGCACGAGTGCCTGCAGATTTAGTGTCTGCTAAGCATAAGGCTGCTCTGAAGAAAATGGGGAGGGGGGGAGGGTTGGAGAAGGAGAAGGTTGAGGGAGATGGCAGATGCCAGAAGATGACAAAGAGAAGCCTACAGAGAAAGCACCTGCTGGATTATTGGGCCTCCATAAACAAACTCCCCCACCCTTCTGTGCTTCCTGGCTGGGACTCAGCCCACCACACAGGCAGAGGGAAGAGGGCTGGTTCCTCATGCTGGAAAGCCTTACTTAGAAAGAAAGAAGAGAACAGAGGCTGTTCCAATAATGGCACTGCTGGTGTGAGAGCAGGTGAACAATCCTCAAACTGCTGCTGTCAGATCTGCTTAGTTTCTTGGTTAGATATTTTATTTTGACCGTTACTATGAGCAATTGGTTTGCACTGATGAGGTTGGATCTCTTTATGTTTTCAAACAATTGGGAAGAGTAAACATCACTACATTCTCTATATCTTGGAGAGTTTGTTACTCACTAGTCAGTTCTTTTCCTCTCTGTCTACGAGGGTCTCTGCCACACAGGTTAACTGCTAATGTTAAGGAGTAATTCTATACCCTTTTGTCTCTTCATGCCCATCACATTCTTCCTTTTTCAGTAACTGGGATTATGTAGAGTGAGAAGTGGTGAGCTAAAGAAATTAAGAAAGAGGAGTTAAGAAAAGAAAGGAATTCTAACTAAATGTAGTTTACAGTACTATTTACTACACTACTCAAAAAAATAAAGGGAACACAAAAATAAGACAACCTAGATCTGAATGAATGAAATATTCTTATTAGATATTTTGTTCATTACATAGTTGAATATGCTGACAACAAAATCACACAAAAATTATCAGTGGAAATCAAATTTAGCAACCCATGGAAGTCTGGATTTGGAGCTACACTCAAAATTAAAGTGGAAAAAAACACTACAGCTGATCCAACTTTGATGTAATGTCCTTAAAACAAGTCAAAAATGAGGCTCAGTAGTGTGTGTGGCCTCCACATGCCTGTATGACCTTCCTACAATGCCTGGGCATGCTCCTGATGAAATGGCGGATGGTCTCCCGAGGATTCTCCTCCCACACCTGGACTAAAGCATCCCCCAACTCCTGGACAGTGTGGTGCAACATGGCATTGGTGGATGGAGCGAGACATGATATCCCAAATGTGCTCAATTGGATTCAGGTCTGGGGAACGGGCGGGCCAGTCCATAGCATCAATGCCTTCGTCTTGCAGGAACTGCTGACACACTCCAGCCACATGAGGCCTAGCATTGTCGTGCATTAGGAGGAATCCAGGGCCAACCGCATCAGCACATGGTTTCACAAAGGGTCTGAGGATCTCATCTCGGTACCTAATGGCAGTCAGGCTACCTTTGGCAAGCACATGGAGGGCTGTGCAGCCCCCTAAAGAAATGCCACTCCACACCATTACTGACCCACTGCCAAACCGGTCATGCTGGAGGATGTTGCAGGCAGCAGAACATTCTCCATGGCATCTCCAGACCTTGTGATGTCTGCCACATGTGCTCAGTGTGAACTTGCTTTCATCTGTGAAGAGCACAGGGCGCCAGGGGCAAATTTGCCAATCTTGGTGTTCTCTGGCAAATGCCAAACATCTTGCACGGTGTTGGGCTTTAAGTAGAACCCCCACCTGTGGACGCCGAGCCCTCATACCACCCTCATGGAGTCTGTTTCTGACCGTTTGAGCAGCCACATGCACATTTGTGGCCTGCTGGAGGTCATTTTGCAGGGCTCTGGCGGTGCTCCTCCTGTCCCTCCTTGCACAAAGGCGGAGGTAGCGGTCCTGATGCTGGGATGTTGCCCTCCTATGGCCTCCTCCACGTCTCCTGATGTACTGGCCTGTCTCCTGGTAGCATCTCCATGCTCTGGACAATACGCTGACAGACACAGCAAACCTTCTTGCCACAGCTCGCATTGATGTGCCATCCTGGATGAGCTGCACTACCTGAGCCACTTGTGTGGGTTGTAGACTCCGTCTCATGCTACCACTAGAGTGTCAGCACCACCAGCATTCAAGAGTGACCAAACCATCAGCCAGAAAGCCTAGGAACTGAGAAGTGGTCTGTGGTCACCACCTACAAACCACTCCTTTATTGGGGATGTCTTGCTAACTGCTTATGCTTTCCACCTGTTGTCTATTCCATTTGCACAACAGCATGTGAAATTGATTGTCAATCAGTGTTGCTACCTAAGTGGACAGTTTAATTTCATAGAAGCGTGATTGACTGGGAGTTACATTGTGTTGTTTAAGTGTTCCTTTTATTTTTTTGAGCAGTGTAAAAAGGAAATGTGAATGTTTTTCACATTCAAGCAGATGTTCTGCTGAACTGCAATGAAAAATTCTTTTACAGATTACAAAGGCTAGAATTTTGAAATTACCCTTCTATAAAGGCAAAATTTGCATGATCTGTTCTCCTGTTTCCTGAATTTAATCTTTTCAGGGCTGACTTAATCTTTTTTTTCCTGTTTCTGCAGCCTATCCTTCCTTCCCCCACTTTCAGAAAATGGTTGCCTTTTCTTCAATCCCTTTAAAGGATCTAGTCAACTCCTATTTAATGACTTTTCTTTCACCATGTACACTTTTCTAATGCCTATTTGCACCATGATTTTTTTTGTTCTGCCACGACTATTTTCTTTTACTTCTATAGAACAAAGTAGGCAGAAGCACATTTTTATATAAAGTCAGTCAGAATTCTTTTAAATACTTTCTCAGAGACACTTAGCAAACAATTATCCCATACTTTCCCCCCGTGAAAACTCTTGCTCTCTTTCCTGTTGTATGAAAAACATTAACGTCTTATAATTGTCTTTCGGAAGTTATTCTCTTACTTGTTTAATTTTTCATCCAGAGCCTCTTTCACATCTTTATTCTACCAAGCATTCTTTTTCATATTTCTGTTTAGTAGGACATAGTTTAGTCTACTCCATGCAATTTCAAGATCTTCTTTCCTTACATTCATTTTTCATTCATTCTGTTGAGGATTTAGTCTGTCTGTCTCTGAATACTTTATTCAAACAGGATTCATACTTTCTGTTCCTGCAGTTATTTTAGTACGAACTCTGTAATATACTGTTCAGTATTCAACCTTGATACACATTTTTTTGTATATTTCTTTGTATGGAACTCAATCTTGTTCTGTCCATAGACCAGAAGATTGTGAAATATCATTCCTCCCATTGAAGCATCTACAGCAAGATTCACAAGAAAATGATAGGTAAGTAAACTAGTCAGAGGTTGATGAATGCAAAACTTCATTTTGTCCATAATATTAATTCTGATTAATTTAACTATGAGGGTTCATATCATTTAACTGTTGCTAATGTTCGTTAGATTGCATTCTGCATTCAATGTTTTCCTATAAGGGTCAATTTAATATACCTGAAGAAAATATTAGGGAGTTATGTTTCATTTAGATTTTGCTGTGCTGTAAAGTAGTTTATCATTAGTATATTTTGTCCTAAAACATGAATAAAAAAATAATCATGTTTACTTCAGCCATGAAGTGTATTCTCGAATTATGTGATTAATACAGGATTTAAAGCTTTTCTTTCATAAAGACATTTTTGCTTTCTTCAATTCAATGTTAGATGTTTATTTTCACAACATGACAAGCAAGCTGTGTTTTATTTATTTATTTATTTTGTCATCCTTTAGTGATTTTTAATTTATTATTATTTTTTAGAAGGAAGGAAGGGAGACTTAAACTAGGTAAGTCTGCAAGTTTAATCACTCATCAAATGTAATTAGGATTACTTGAAATTAATACACAATATGTTATATTTAGACCGTACAGATGAGTGGCAGAGAATCCAGGGTCACTTCCTGAACGTAAGCATTATGGCAATCCCTTGTCTCTGTTCAGTGGCACCAAGAGGTTTGGCACCTAATACCAGGTCAGTAAGGATTTGTGGAATTAAACTAATATCCTTAACACCTTTTTTCAGAAGCTTGGCTTTCTCAGATTGCACGCAATCTAGAACTTCAGGGTTGGGAGAGCACGATGAAATTGAACAATAGTTGATTCTGCATCTTTGGGAATTGTAATCAATTTTTGTTCAGGCAGATATGCGGTCATCCATCTAGAATAATCATTGGATAATTATGATTAAATTATCTTAGAAGTTTGACTTAAGTGGCAGTCACAAATAATAATCTCCTTTGGGCTTTCTTAATGGGGCAATCTAGATCTTTGGTTTTTGTTGAGTTAATTCCCCGTTAGGAGAATGAGCGCACACAGGGAGACGTAGTGAGAGTGGTGAAGAATAACACTCAGACAGCACACAGCTACACTGTATAGTAAAATGTAGGTTTTTACTTCCAGTAAAACGGTTAAGCAAAGTTCAACAAAACAGTGCAAGTCATTCACCGTTAAAGCAGTCAGTTTTCAATCCAGGGATAATCCAATAACAAAGTCCAATATCAAAAACAGTTCAGTAACAGGCTTACATCAATGATCAGCAACAGTCAATAGGAGGAACGGCAAAACTCTCAGCAACAACAGAACAGAACAACCCAAGTTTCTGGCTCCATCTTATGGCTGTTTGAGGAACCACACCCAATTACCATTTTAGCATTCCCTTAAAGAGACAGTATTAAAATGTCTATCCTGGTTTATATATTTTCCAACCCAAATGTTAGGTGACTTACATTCCTAACAGTTTTCACTGATTAAATTCAGTTATTGTGAAAGCTAAATAAAAGTGCTAAAGAGAAACCCTGCATGCATAAGGAAAAACAAAACGAACTGTCAATGAAAGACTAGAAATTTCATTCCAACCTTGTTATTTTTAGATCTTTGACATTTGCCAAACGTACTAATTCAGCTGCTAGATTACTGTGACTCTTGTTAATTTTATGATTCATCAATACCTCAGCAGGTAGGGAGAATCTGTGGCCCTCTGGGCTTCACTAAGTATAGCTTTTAGGAACTCCAGATGTCATAATCATAAGGGAAGAAGACTCAAAATCATGAAAACTAATTGGAACCTTCAAAAAATGAAATAAATAGAAGCCTTTTAATGTTTCCACTTTGGAATTGCAAACCTTAGAGTTGTGTAACTTTGGGTTGTCTAAAAACTGCACCAGCCTTTGAATGTTATGAATGGGGATAACTGGGCAAAGGAAATTGGGATTACACAAAAAGTTTTAAAAATAGGTGAGGGAATACATTATTTCAATTAATTGTGTACTTAAATATTTTTATTTTATTTATTTTTTGAATTTATATGATGCCCATCTCTCAGTTTGAAGAAAATATACCAGTTATGCTTATATAGTTATCTACAACTCCTCACATCTTTCTGATTCCCTCATAAAAGTATATGGGTAATATTACTACTAATAATTATAAATATTCCATACATTCTGTACACTAACTGGTATTGGTTTGGCTGCAAAATCTGAAAGAATAGGTTCAATTAATAACCTGACAGACAACTAGTGATATCTAACACCACTCAAAAATTGATAAAATGTGTAATATCAAGATTTCCCACAAATTATAGTTCCTTCTGAATAAATCAGTTTCACACATTTCATCACGATTCTTACTTTTGACAGATGCTATGTGCATTATTTGTGTGTACATATTTATAAAATAATTTGTGTGCGTGTGTTTATGTATACATACAAATAATGTCACTCGTAATTTGTAACCACCTGGATTTTTTAAAAAAATTCCTAAATATATCATCAACACATTTTCTAAATACATTATCAAACATTTCATCTGGTTTTTAATTATTTTCTTGTGAAATAAATTTTCATATTTTTTCAGAATAAAAAATTGAATGGGAAATAAAAAACAACTAATGTGAAATTGCACTATATATTTTTAACAATACAAATAACTATCCTTACACTGAACCAATTTGGTGTAGTAGTTAAGGTGTCAAATTAGAAACTGGATGACTATGAGTTTTAGTCTCATCTTAGGCACAAAGCCCTAAGAAAGAGGCAATGGTAAATCAATTCTGAAAAATCTTGCCTAGAAACCGCAAGGCAGTCTCTAAGAATTGAACACGATTGAACAGATGGAGAAAAAATCTTACTGTTTCTACAAAGTTAAAAAAAATTAAGACCAGACACACTTCTACTTGCATTTTAATTCTTACCAGTCACTGGCTATTGTTCCAATATGCCGATTGTCCAGATAAAAGCTACATCTACAAATATTATCATATACAGATTATATGCAGTTATTTTCTGGGAACATTAAGGTTGATGATATTACACATTGAATATTATTTTACTCAAAGATGAATTACTTGGGTTATTAAGATAGATTCCTGATTATACTATATCATCTTCTGATTAATTCATTGTTAATTGCATTATTTAATTCGTGCTTAACTGAACTGTATCATTTCTAGATTGGATGATGGAAGCATAGCTCTTATAACTGTAAGGAATACTTCCCGGCAAGAATTCATTAGACATTTGAAAAGATATGCTAGTCTGAAAAACCAGGTAAAGGGTTACTCTTGCATTTGCAAACTGACATTATTTTATTCAAATTTTCTTAGCAGCTGCATTCATCAAAAGTCAGAGAACAAATGATAATGTAATAAAACGATTACATTATCAAACCATTACAAAGATTTAAGGTGGAAGTAAATTCATGATATAAGAGTTTAATGCTTTTGTAAAGAGACTTAAACTTCCTGTCAGAATACATTAGCCTACCTTTTTCTGATTTTGAAAATCACCAGACTAAGGCCGATTAGCCTATTTCTGTCCATCTGTTGTAGTTTTATTATAAATGGTTCTTATATACAGGAGGTACTACAGTACAAATCTGCTAAACTGATTTTTTTTAAAATCCCAAATGCTATATTTAACTATAGATGGTGCTATATTTGGGGCAAGAGAAGGCTTGTTACTTTTTGTAGATAGTTTTTTTATTTTTATTTTCACTTGCACACATTCACAGTTAGTCAAGTCCTACAGTGTATAGCTCTTCCTTGAAAATGGAAGTGACTAGATAATCATTTTATTTCCTTCCATAGTTTTTTATTTTGATATCTGAACCATATACAATACTTCAGCTTATCATTCTCACAACAAATTGAAACAGAAGCCTTGATTTGTCCTTGGCTTCTGATTATTGAATTGTTTTATGTAGATAGCTATATTGATGAAAACAAGTTTGAGTTTCCATATTTTTGAAGTTGCTGCTAGTGATAGGAAGAACCAAAAGAGAGACTCTCGGAGATTATGGTTTACTACAATCATGTAAACATGTTCCAGATAATTGATACAAAATGTGGTAGCAAACACTTCTACCCAGCATTTATTCAACACAGTATATTTGGTTTGGATTTCAGGGAGAGGTGGGAAGAATCTGAACCTCTTTTCACAATGGGATGTATCACAGTTGTTGGTTAATAAGTACCAAGGATCATCCCTTTACAGTTTGGGAAATATAGATTAGGATTTATGGGTGTTCAGCATGGTTCACAATAATGCCACAATACTATAAGCCTGGTATCCAAGGATGAACTAAGGATGGTCCAATGCAGAATTAAGCATATACATGTTTTCCTACGATGTGTTTGGGTGAAATACCATTTAAGTTTTAATTCTTGATTTTACCAATGCTGCAGAATGGTGGCAATCAACAGAAAAAAAATAAATCACATAGCAAAATGTAGAATAATTTTTTAACATTAAAACTTCGTTTTGCAAATTCCATTTCAAAGCCCATTCAGATTTTCTGTAAGAATGCTAAAATGTTCAGAGATATATTCTTTTGTCTTCTAGCATTAGTTTTCCATTCTGTAATGGAAGCAGACATATGACAAACATTTGCAGATACCAAATTTTTCAGCTGCTGTATTTATGCTTTGTATTTTAGTTCAGCTTTCCTTTTATTGATACTTATATTGTTGAAGAAGTAAAAGTCTGTCCAAGGATTGGAATGAAACATATCCCTGCAGATAATCTAAATTGTACAGGTTCTGAAGAAAATACTTATCCCTGGAATATAGATGGAGATTTAGTGGAATGGGCAACAGAAGTTCATATCCGGTAGGATTACATTTTGTCATGTTTGAACAAGAAGTGTTGGTAATTCCTTTTAGTTTAGCATAAGTTTTGTATGGTATATTTCCACATTCTACACTGGATAATGAAAACATTCACATTGAGCCAGTGTTTGGTTCTAATTTCTTGCAGAAGGATATTTTCCCTAAGAAGATCTAGGAATAATGACAGAGTTGGAGTATTTAGGTGGCTTGTCCCTTTAAAGTTTCTCAATAATATATTTTTATGTCCACTGCTATATGATGGCCTACTTCTCTTCTTGGACCATAGCCAAATCTTACATTTGACGCAAAGACCATCCTGTAAAAAACAGAATCATGCCTATCTCCCTCTGACATTTCTGTCATATTTGCATATAAGCAGATCTATCCAAATGCAATCTGTAATCTATAGACTTGAATTTTAGAGTTTATGGTTTTTATTGTCTGATACCAGCATATCCACCTGCAAAGTGTACAAGATTAGGCAAGACATTTTGGCATGCCAATCCTTTATGATACATATATTGAAAATGTCAGTTTAGAACTTAATGTCAGGTAACAAATATCTCAGTGCTATTTTCCAATCAATAAGTTTTTTAAATCAAACATTATGTGTTTATGTATATCCTTGCTGGTTGGAAATATATCTGAAGGTAAGTTTATTGTCCATTTAGACTTTATGTATACAGGTAGTCCTTGACTTACGACTGCAATTTAGCCTAACATTTATGTTGCGAAGTGAAACATTTGTTAAGTGAATTTTGCCTCATTTTATGACCTTTCTTGCCATAGTTAAGTAAATCACTGCAGCTGTTAAGTTAGAAACACAGTGGTTAAGTGAATCTGGCTTCTCCATTGACTTTGCTTGTCAGAAGGTTGCAAAAGATCCCATGACCTCAGGACACAGCAATGGTCATAAGTATGAACCAGTTGCCAAGCAGCTGAATTTGGATGTTGCAAAGGTTGTAACTGTGAAAAACAGTCATAAGTCACTTTTTTCAGTGCTGTTGTAACTTCAAATGGTCACTGAATGAACTGTTGTAAGTCGAGGACCACCTGTACTTGCTGCATTCTGTTTAAAGCCTGTCAAAAAGTTGAGAAATGTGGCTGAAACTAATTTGAGTTACAACTTAAAATAAAAACACATAAAATAACTATCAAATTCTCTGCAACTCAGCAATACATCCATGCTTTGGTGCCATCAGTTCCATTTTCCTCAACTTATTTGTTATACAAATAAATTACACACAAATATTTCCCCAAATTGGACTCCCATTTGTGTGAAGAAGACTATAGTGGAAAGTATTTTTCTTCTATTTTTTTCTATACATCTACGGTATTTTTTTCCCCAAAACATATGAACAAAAAGTACACGTTCATATAAAGCAGTAATGAGATAATTTTTTTTCTGTGTTTCTTGCATTTTCAGGGTACATCCTCAGTTGATTAATCTGTATGGAGGAAATGTTATTTTGGATAATCTGGAAGAATCCTGCAGTTGTATTTAGAAATGATCTATGAAAAAAGATTACCTTTCCATCCCAATCATATTTGTATGACAAAAATAGCATAAACAATATGGAAGCTCGGATTATTCAAGTTAATAATATGCACGATTCAACTCAGAACGAAGTTCAGAGTCATGGGGAAATACCCACTTTCTTATTGGGACAAATGCTATCACTTTTACCTTCAGGTTGGATTGAGGCATATTTTGTGATTCCTGTTTTGGGTTTTGTATGCAAATCACACACAAATTTTCAGGAATGTTAAATAATTAGGGGAGATTGCCTGTCCAATTTTAGACAAATAATGTAGATGTAACTGTAATTATAATGTAACTGACTTTGGGGAAGTCAGTTCTTTCAGTTTTAAAATTATTGTGGGTTCGAGTCTGTAACTTGTTTTTGGTATTTATTCCTAACCAACATTTTTCAGGCAGCTAGGTCAAAGTGATGGGAGGAGGAAAAAATTCACTGACTGCCCCCAAGTGGATGGTGTCCTCTGCACAGGGAATGATCTGACTTAAAACATCATACCCATACTATACCAGGGCTGTTCAAACTATTTCATGGAAATCTAGCAATCTGAAAGAATGTGATGTACCGTAGCTCCACGAGAAACTAAAGCATTGCTGCCCAAATTGGTTGTGTTTTTTTCCCCCTTTAGGTAATTACCCATAAACCCATTACTCAATCACATCAGGGATGTTTAAATAAATTAAAAGGATTTAACCTACATTGGGTAAAAAAAAACTTTATGATAAGCAGTTTTGAGGTAATGAAGGGAAGTTTGGAAAGCATTGTACTGAAGGCAAAACAAAAATTCAGTTGAACACAGCCAGTTTTCTATCACTGAGTTTTGCCTCTTGATCAGTTCTAGATTGGGTTCAGGTCTTCTAATAGTTGATTATAACAAATGGATCTATTCCATTAAACTGGGCAGTCACCTGACCCTTTTAGAACATCTTAAAGGATTCCTTTCTAATTCACAAATTAAAGAATGAAGTGAGTTAATAATATATTACCCTTTTTAAAATTGAAATAGATCTGCATACTACTAACCAAGAATATTTTTCAGTTTGTTCTTTAAAGCAAATACTAAAATACTTAGCTATAAATTGAAATGATTTTATATGAGAAAATAAAAGTTGGCATATCAACTAGACATGTCAACATAGTTTCAATGGTTAATAATTTGGTAGATTTTGGCTGGTTTTTGAAATAGAAATCAGTGTGTTTGTACATTGTGGTCTTATATTAAGCCTCTCTTCCTTATCTAATTCATTCGTAAATAAAATCCAGCAAAAGCACATTCTTTGCATTGTTTCGTTTTGTAAAAAGTACATTATTTGGAAGATGACCATATCCTGGAAACATAAGATGTCTTCACTGCATGTTATTTCTCTCTGTTGTAACTATTAAAATACATACTCTATCTGTGTCCATTACTCTGGGCTACAAAGTCTATTCCCTGCTTGCTGTGTGGTTAGAATTTTCTTTTGTTCAATTGTGCCCAGTTCTTGGACTCTTTCTGGACTGTTTTCTTGGCAAGGTTTTTCAAAAGAGGGTTGTCATTGTCTCCTTCCTAGGGCTGAAAGTGACTGTCCCAAGGTCACCCAGCTGGCTTTGTGTCTAAGGCAGGGCTAGAACCACTACATCAAACCGGCTTTCTGACTAACACATAGAGAATTATTAACATCACTGGGGATGTGCAGTATCTTTGAAAGAGGGGTTCCATAATAAATGGGACTGTATTCAGTGCACTCTTTAATGATTAACTCAGCTGCCTCTTTTTCATCCAGCTGCTCCCAGTTGTCTCTGCATAAACATCCATTTCATGCAAAAGAAAAGTAACATGGGATCAGTTCCTGAAAGACTTGCCTGCTTTAATAATTTCAAGAAAGGAGTTTCATACCTGGTTCCATTCACAAGGAAGACTTTCACAGGTTTATTACAGCCCTAGTATTTTATTTAAAATAAACATAAATAACAACATAAATGACTTAGATGAAGGAATGGAAGGGAACTCATCAAATTTGCACTAAACTTGCAGGAATACTCAAACAATCTAGAAGACAAGCGCAGGTTCCAAAAAGATCTTGGCAGAATTGAACAATAGGCTCTATCCAACAAAATGAAATTTAATATGGAGAACAGCAAGGTTTTGTATTTAGGCCAGAAAAACCAAAGGTACAAGTATAGATTAGATGAAACCTTGTCTCAAAAACAGTAACTGAGTGGGACCTTGGAATCCTAGTGGATGACTTATAGCCAAATAGCCAAAAAAGCTAATATAATTCTTGGTTGTATAAACAGAGGCATAGAATCACAATCACATGAAGTATCCAGTTGGATCCAGTTTTGGTCACATTATCAAAAAAGATGTTGAGACTTTGGAAAAAGTACAGAGAAGAGCAACTAGGATGATTAAAGGTCTGGAGACAAAAACATGAAGAACGGTTGCAGGATTTGGGTATGGATAATCTTGAGAAAAGACAGACTAGGAAGGACATGATAGCAGTATTCCAATATTTGAGAAGCTGCCGCAAAGAAGAATGGGTCGACTTATTTTCCAAAGCACCAGTGGACAGGACAAGAAGCAATGGAAATTATAATGGAGAGAAGCAACCTAAAACTCACAGACTTCCTAATGGTGAGAGCAATTAACCAGTGGAGCAGCGTGCCTTCAGAAGTTGTAGGTGCTTCATCACTGGAGGTTTTTAAGAGACTGGACAGCCACCTATTTGAAATGGTATAGAGTCTCTTGATCAATCAGGGGATTGGACTAAAAGACCTCAAAGATACCTTCCAGCTCTACCCTGAAATTAAATCATTTACTCAATTTGTATAGCTACCCATCTCATTGTCTGCATGGCTAACAATGATTAAACACTATTGAAATGAAATACAAACAGAAACCAAGAGATGATATAATCTGTCAATGTCAACATTACCATACTTGGGATATGAGGCCCAGGCTCATTGCTAGATCTTCAAGGCCTTCCAGAAGGCCAGCAAGATTGGGGGCATCCTAATCTCAGGAGGTGGCTATGGCAAAAAAGGCACATCTCATGGTGACATTCCTTGGCTGACAGGACCCGGAACATACCCATCCTGTTGGATCAGATTGGGCAGGAACAATTGGAGAAGACAGTCCTTCAGTTAAATCTCATGAAGGGCTTTAAAGGTGACAACCAGCACCTTGAATTGCACACAGAAGCATACTAGCAACCATTGCAGTCCCTGAAGCAATGGTGTCATATGTGCCAAATAGCCAACATCATTTACAAACTCTGTTTCTGTATTTTGTATCAGCTGAAGTTCCTCAAGGAGACCTGGATCACACTGCAGTAGTTCCAGTAGGACTTAATTCCTTTTAAGATGGGAAAAACCATACAAACATTTATTTATGTCTAATGCAGAGGTTTGCAGCCTCTATACGAAAGATTGGTAAACAAATTACAGTGATAAATTTACATTGTTAACATACAGGGTGTAAGAAAGATTGTCAGAAAATAAGCTGTTCATTTTAAACAAAAGTGTTCATTTTAAAATAAGTCTTCTTAGGCTTTCCAAAGAGTTAAATGGCACATTGTAAATACCAGCCTTCATAAGTAAATTATATAGGGAAAGTCTAATTGCTAATATTTTTGATGTTTGTAAATATTCACTTTAAAAATACTGATGTCACAAAAATTGTACATTTAGGGATGAATTCAAATATCTGCAATACTTTGACAGCTTCATGTTTCATTTTATTTAATATTTTATTTCTTGGTGATTGATCTTTTTTACAGTGTAGGGTTATACAGTGATAAAACATCTTTTTTAAAAAAAAAATCAGAGTCTTTTTAATGCTTTAATGCAGGGCTGTCAAATTCCGGCCCATGGGCTGGATGTGTCATGCACTGGCCATGCCCATGCCTGGTTTAATGAAGGGGGGAAAAGTCCCAATACGTCACATGACACTGCCGTGACAACTGATACCATAGGTACAACTGATATCATAGACTGTTTTGTTCAATTAATAATCACCTTGGGGTTAAAGTGCAGTACTTTACCATCTCCTTAAGTCTTATGCTAAACATTCTGAACCTGTATAATGTGTGCAAGAAAGTACATTTGTCTAAAAATTAGGCAAAGATTCTATTTCTTCAAAATACAAAAATAAATAAAATGATTGCATAAGAAGAAGTGGTAACTGCCATTTCCCTGATTTTGCACAATGGGAGGACTTCTTCAACCCAGCCAGGTAGAATCCTCAAAACATGGTTGAGAGTCGCACAACAAAAATCTCATAGACCTTGAGCCCAAAGCTCTATTCTATCATTTGGTTTTTCAGTTCAAGATACATAGGAAGAGCTCACAAACCAACTTAATTTCTTCCTCTCCACTGACCTGACACCCTCAATCTCTGCCAAGGAACCTTTTCTCTTAGTAGGGTCCCTACTAATAGTGTGTGCTAATATTCCAGAATTAGTTGCATAGTAAGTCTGAAAAAATACAATGGTGAGGACATCCAAAATCGTATGTTGTTCACCTTCCATTAAAAAATTGCCTCTCTCCTTTCATTGAAAAGATCCTATATATAGCCATAGTTGTTCTTGAAATGTGTTTTGAGTATTAGTAACTCGAGTTGGTAATTAGGCTGTTGGTTTGAATTCCAAGCTTGGCAATTTGGTTGCAAATGGTTTGTCACAATTTGAGGAGACGTCGTCAGTGCATTTTTAACTGGACGTTCCCAGTATTTCCAGAGCAAGGTGGAGAAAGTAGAATAAAAATTGTCAGCAGCCACTAAATTTGCAAATCTAAAAAAAAAATATGTCACTGGTTTCACTTTAGGAGCTAGAAGGAGACAGCACAGGTCTACATTGTGTGGAGACTAAAACTGGTCTAATTTAGCATCCTCGTGACACTGCAATGTTTTGGGAAGCAAGGTTCTACATTCGCGATTCAAGTATGATTAGTACAATGCTCCTTCTCAAGTCCTTTTTAAAAAGCAAGGAGCAATTCCTAGTGTTTCCTTGTGCTTGCATTTTGACTTTTTCTTTCCTTTTGATTAGAAGTCTTGAATATGTTTATCCTTCAGTTTTCTATGATTTGTGCTTTTGGAAGCCCGTTTTGATGGCTATTCCTTTCACATATGATATGGGGGCTTAAGACTTCACAGGTCTTGTAGCAGATAGTTCTTAAGTTCTACCAAACGTCCTACTCTAAGCTATTATTGTGAATATGTTTAAAAAACTCCAAACTTTCACTTCCATTTCTTTCCTCAGGAAAACGTTTGTATTTTCTTTTGAAGAATCCCACC